TGCTGTCGCCGCCGCCGTCGCGACTTGCTTGACCTTGTTCATAGCCGCCTTCTTAACACCGACGTCGCCGTTCATGCTGTCAACTTTGTTAATGCGATTTTTTCGACCTTTTTTTTCTTTTTCTTTTTTACTTTTTAATCCCTGGGGAACAGATGAGGGTGGATAAGTTCTTTTTTTAAATTTTTATTCCTTTTCTCGAGGATCTTTCTCGGAGGATGGCCGAAGGATATCTTTCTTGGAAGGGAGACCGTGGTATGGTTAATCGAGTTGAGTGGTTGCGAGGGGTTTTAGAGGTGGGGGTTGGAAAGCGTGGTTGTGGGAACGGGGCAAGGCGAGAAATGGACCTTGGCGATATGGAGCTAGTGTAGGTAAATGGACGATATGCTGTTCTATGCCTGTGTTGCTGAACTACAGCAACAGCAGCAGCAGGTGAGAGGATTAACTGAATGTACGAATGTATGAAAAATGTATTTCGGATTGTGTGGATGCGTGAATGCGCGGATGCGAGTTATGTATCTTGCAGGCGAAGGAGGCACCAGAGCAAGAACACAACGTATTAGGTATTCTGGGAAGCAACAGGTTCGTAGAAAAAAGGAAGAATAGTTGAACGCCCACAAGCAGGTCTGAGACTTGGTTGATTGGGGATGATAGAAGGGGGGGTACAAACAACAGCCAGAACGGATAGCTAAGGTAGGAGGGATGGGGGAAAAAGCAGAGAGAGAGAGAAGGATGGATGATGGATGAATGGACGGATGTTGTTGTTGACAAGACAAGACAAGAGGTCTACCTACAAGAACGCCTGTGAGTTCTTTCTAGACTACCATGCATTAATATCTACTGGACCAACAGCAGAGCAGGTTTTTCATATCTCTTCCAACAGCGTCCTTCTTGATTTTAATTTTTTTATTTTATTTTTTGGACGCCCCCCCTTTTTTTTAAACGCTCTCGCTCTCTTCAATCGTCTGGAGTTTGGGCGGGTTACTCTTGTACCCCCCTCCTCTGCGCTGCCTCTTCGGCGGACACTCTTCCCCTCGTATGTTCCGTTGTCGTCTCCCGCTTACTCGTTCCCACCAAGACTGTCGTCGATCGTTGGACACTGCGTCTATCTCTTCCGAATTCGGCAGAGGCAAATCGCTGGTAGATAGGTGCTCAGCCAGAGTTGGAAACACAAGGTTAAGATCAGAGGAACCCTTTCGCACCTGAAAAGAAGTGAAAAAAGGAGAATTCTCACTGAAGGGGGCCAAATATAAATATTATAATTCGACAAACAAAAAAATGGTCGGTTGTACAGCGAACGAGCAGTCTGGTTTGGTATGGGGGTTTTTTTTTTTTTTACCTCAAAACCCTCCTATCAATCGAAGACTCAGGGTTGGCCACACTTTGCGGATGCACGATATGCGAGAAACCTCAGTCGTTTAAAGGGGGGCATATTAACCGCAGTGTTAATGTTAATATTCACATCTCACCGCATAAGTGGCACAGCGCCTATGGAGATCACATACATGTTGTTTTAAGCATTTTTCTCAACGAAGGCAGATACAATATACATGATAGCAAAAAAGGGCACGATAGAGTTTATCATGCAACGCGCACCGGCAACCTGGTGGGGCGATTAACTAACTGCCCTGGGGCCTGGGTTGTTCTATTCGTCTCTGTACCCATGGAACTTTGAAAGCGCTTGCACATACATAAACCCACAAGGTGACCCGGTCAAGAGAGAGGGGGAATCTCTACATATGAAGACGCATGCAACCCCTCAGCAAGAAGAGTCGAACTAGGTATCGAATAAAGGTCCCCATCACCACACACGGCGCATCACGGACCCAGAAACAAAAGGAAAAACCCCTCTCCTTCGCCTCTTCCCTTTCTCCTCATCCTTCCTCCAATCGTTGAATCACGGGCTTCCAATAGCCGCCCTGGGCCCTACTATTCGGAAATCAGAAATGACATTTTACCTATCTACCTACCTACATCCTCCTATGTAGTTTAGGCGGCGGGGTCCATGGAGGAAAGAAGTAAGCAGGCTTTTCGAATATAAACATATCGATCCCAGAACATGGGGGAATGTTATTAATATCGCGCCTGATGTTCGGATTCTTGGGATTTGAGGCTTCGCTTGTCATGCTCACTTAAGAATGCCCTGCCAAGCCGGTTATATGACTACAAGCAAAAGCTCGATTGCATCATCGAGCAGCGCTGAAACACCTGATACAGCTGCTCAGGCTGGTGCTTGTGGCTTGAGGATCCCTGCAACCTACTGTTCTTGAAACCCAGCCTCAGCAAATTCGGGCTTCTAGAGGATTCGAGGAGCTAAATCATGTGAGGAATGGGTGGGTTACACGAAGAACCATGAAAACAAACCCAAGGTCTCAAAAGATATCAAGAAAATAGAAGACCCCGCGTGGAGTTACATAGGGAAACGGGTCTCGTCTCCGGCCTTGGTCCGGAAAGCAAACAAACTAACCAGCTTGATTGGATATCACGAGTTGAGTTGAGGTTTAATCTGCAGTTTTACAACCGCGGGGAAACCTCACATCATATTTTCTCTCACGATGTGAGGAAATTAGACATCTTGATGACTCTGCAAGCTAACACAGAAGCGCTTCAACATGCGTCATCCCTAAACCCTCAAAAGGATAACAGACCCTTGTTTGTTATCGCCCGATTGTCGATCATGGATTCTCACTCGGGGGTATAATTCCAAAAACCGCTCCCCCAGCATGATTTTCAGATCCTGAGATCGTGAGATGTCAAGATCGGAGACGTGACGTTCATGATTAACAGCCTCGGTAGTTGGGGGTTGCAGAAACAAAACGGGGTAAATTCGCTCTGCAGCCATTACATATGGCGGCAAGTCCCGCATTAGGCCCCCCCCCCCGGTACGTATCTGGAAGGAAATACTGCAGCTCTCCCGTACCTTAAAAATGGTTAATTTGCCTTGGATCTGGAACTCAACCTGGTTCGTCATTGCTGGGCGGCCGTTCAAAGTACTAGTAACCTTATACATACGGTGCTGTACATATACTCACATGTTAATTAAGTCCAGAGAATTCTTGTTAGCAACGACCTCACAAAATTTCTCAGGACTTAATTAACGCGCGTGTATACATATATATCCCGGCGGATATCAAGAGATCGTTTTCCAGAACCTAACCCTGGTCTCTTTACTTAAGGCTTTGGGTTGCTATTAACGTCAGTCTCTGGACCGGGTTTAGGAGCTTTTGGAACCCATACGATCCAGATCGAGCAATTCCCGGTGTGAAGTTTCAGCTTCCTTCTCTGTGTGACTGTGGATATACACTTGACGTTTAGGTTCGCCGGCTATAGTTAGACGTGTACTGAACCACAGGTTAAATACTTGCATGCTTAGTTCACACTCAGTGAATTATATCTTAGTTCCAGAGGAATCGTAAAGCTCCTTCAAGCCTAAGCACTCAAGGCGTACATGCATGCAATGGGGATCCACTATCGTAACTCTGGCCAGATCTCCAGAATTATCGACAATGCCAATCGTGGACCAGCTAAGACAATTGCACGAGTGCAGTGTAACCTATAACCGGAACGCAAAGGAGTGCATGTGTGGCTTCTGCAGCCTAGACTGGAAGCTTGGGACTGGAATACACACATGTGCTCCAAACTACTGCCACACGACCTATATTACAAGCGTGAGAAGGGCTGCCATAAAAACACCCGTGGTAGAAGTACACTCCACTTCACATAAACGCGCGCCTGGTATGGGTTTGGTGACTGCATGCATAGAGACTATTCCGTGCATATTCCGCCGTAGATATGCAGGATGGTTGACTTGGCTATTAAACTGCCAACATAATAGTTGCTGTGAAAATACGTTAATTGCACAACGCGGGAATTTTTGGAGAGAATTGGTCCCAAGCAGCCCATTCAAGCCATTGAGATTTGTGAGCTCAATGAGATCCTGGCCGCGAATGACAGTATCGACAAGCACCGTCACTAAATTTAACTAGATTTCGAGGAAGCCGGCAGCGACAATTAAACGTACACGGTGTATATGTGACCAGTTCTACAATATGTAGGGTCCAGAGGCGCCAATTAAGTATCCTCTCAAGCCCTCCATAGAGCCTTCCTGTGATCTACCACCCAGCAAATCCCTAGTGAAGAACACAACCAAACCAGGGACCCCGCCATCTACACATTACCCCAGAGATGCACAGTATGGTACCTGGCGATTACTGTTTGAACCCAGCTAGTTATCCCGAGGCCCCACAGCACCACTTAACGCAACACAGCAGCCCTTTTAAAAGCCAAAAAGTGACAGGAGAGCTACTTGTATATTCTCTGCCCCATGCCACTAACTGCTACAACCATTAAGGCCCATCCATAGATACATATACACTCCTGCGCGCTGGCCACATAGCTCGAGTGAATAAATACCGTAAAGACTCGATAGGCCGGTGGGCCTGGGCCTAAACCAAAAATATAGGGCGAATAACAGTGGAGAAACGTAAAGCAACCAATCAGAGAGCTCGGATTCAATAGGTGAGCCCGGGCTCATCTATCGTATGAAACTGGTGAACCCTAACCCACAGTGATACTACGCCTACCTATCCAAAAAGCCAATGATCGAACAACCGCAAGCAACACATATATAATTACGCCCCTATCCGTTAGTTACAGCTCTCGCCCCTTCTCCTGCTGTAACGAAGCAAGCTTAAGGGAAGCTCTCTAGATCTCAAGCACTAACTAACTATAATTTAAGAGTAAGAGCTAGTCAATAAAAAAAGTATTGTACTCTACATTATTACGGGACCCAGTTCGATCCCTGACCGACTGGCCGCGTGAATTAACAGAGCAGAGGAGAGGAGAACAGAGGAGAAGAAGGAAAAACAGAAGAAAAGGAAAGACAAAAACACAAAAACAAGTTAAAAACACCAGCAAAAAAAAAAAACCTTTTCCACGCAAGAGCAAACAATCACAAAACCACACAAAATCCCCCATCCCCCATCCCTCATCCCCCATGGGCACTACGAATTCCTCAGCGCCGCCACCGCCGCCGTCCACTTCTGCTCATCCCTGCGATCAAACTTCAGCAGCATGCCCAGCACCGGCACCAGCTGCATCTGCGTGCGCTTCTCCTTCTGCTCCAGCAGCTGCAGAAACACGTTCTTCAGATAGTCCGTGTTGACCGCCTGGTCGCCCGCCAGCGACGACCGCGACGAGTCCACCGAGGTGCGGTTCTGCTGCCCCCGCGTCGATGGCGGCGGGGGCGACGCTGGGCTGGTGATGCCCTTGCTGCGCGTGGTGCGGTGGTCGTCTTGGAGGGCCTGCGGGGGGGTGTTAGTATGTTGTTGGTGACGGTGGGGGAGAGGGAGAGGGGGAAGGACCTTGTGTGTCTTTAATAGCTTGTCGTACTTGCTCTGTAGCTCCTCGAGCTCCTTGCGCGTCTCCGCCTTCTGGCGCTCAATCTCGCGGACCTGTCCGTCTGTCTGGTCGAGTGTGTCTCTCATGCTGTCCAGCGCCGACTTCGTCTCGCCATACTCCCTAGTGACCCTCTCCAGCTCCGCCTCCACCTTCGTCCTCGCCTCCCTCATGCCCGTCAACTCCCTCTCCACCCCTCCCGCGCCTCCTCCGCCCCCCTCCCCGCCCTCTCGGCCTCCCTTACCCTCTCCCGCAGCTCCTCCACCTCCCTCCCCCTGCGCCTCCCCACCGTCGCCGCCTCCTCCTCCGCGCGATCCCGCTCCTCCACCGCCGCCTCAAGCCGCTCCTTCATCTCTCTCGCCCGCGCCTCATGCCGCGCCTCCACATCGCCCAGCAGCCTCCGCATCGTCTCTGCCTCCCTCGTCCGCTCGCCCAGCAGCCTCTGCGTCTCCACAAGCTCCTCCTCAACACCCTCACACTTCTCCGCCGCCTCCCGCATCTGCTGCGCCAGCTCCCCCGTCTGGCTCCGCAGCGCACTAACCATCTCCTGCGCACCGGCATACTGCGAATTCTTCGCCTCCAGCTCCTCCCGCAGCGCCGCACGCTCGTCCCGCAGCACCTTCACATCCCCGTCCAGCGCCGCCAGCCGCGCCCTCGCCGCGCCCAGCTCCTCCTGCACGCCCCGCAGCTCCTTCCCGCCCTTCTCTATGGCCGCCTGCGCCTTCGTCCGCTCGTCCTCGGCGCCGCGGAGCGACTTTTGCACGGCCCGCGTGGCCTCCTCGGCCGTGACGCGCCGCGAAGCCTCCTCGCGCACCTTCTGCCGCTGCTTCTCGAGCTCGCCGTCTTTCTCGGTGAGCTTCTTTGTGAGTGTTGCCACCTCGGACTTGAGGTCGCGCTCGACGCGCTCGAGGCGCCGCAGCTCGACGAGTTTTTGGTTCGCCTCGTTTTTGGCCGCGCTGAGTGTTGCGACCTCGGTGCGCAGTGGGATGAGCTCTGACTGCGCCTTCTCGAGCGCGCTGCGGGCGTCGGTGAGCTCTGTGGCGCGCGTGGCGGCGAGCTGCTGCGCGGCGGTGAGGTCCGCGGTGAGTGTTTCTGCGGCGGCCCGGAGAGACTCGGTCTCGGCCTGTAGCGCTTCGTGCGCGGTCTGGAGGGCCTTGTGTGCGGCCTCGAGGCCCGCAGAGGTGCTGGCGGAGGCCTCTTTCAGCGCCGTGATCTCCGCCTCGAGGCTCGAGACCTTGGGCTCGAGCTCGTCGACGAGCTTCTGGGCGGCCTGCAGCGCAAGACTCTTCTCCTTGAGCGCGTCTTTGGCGTCCGTCAGGTCGCCGCCGAGATTGACCAGGTCGTCGCGCAGGCTCTCGAGCTCCTCGCGCATTTCGTCGGCGGCGGCGGACTTCTTCTTGAGCTGTTCGATGTAGGTGTCGCGTTTCTCGAGGTCGGCCTCTTTCTCGGAGAGCTTCTCGCTCGTCGCTGACAGCGCCGTCTCCTTCTCTGACAGCTTCTCCTCCGTCTCGGACAGCTTCTGCTTCGCCTCTGCCACCTCCGCGCGCAGCGATGCGAGTTCGGTGGTGTCTGCTGCTTGCGCCTGGAGTGCATCAGCCCGGGACTCGGTCTCGTGCAGCTTCTTCTCCAGCGCCGCGACCTCCTTCTGGAGGCCCTCGATGATGGCGCCGGCAGTATACGTGCTGCCCGCCGCGGCGGTAGCGGCAGGCTCAGGCTCGTCCTCGACCATCTCACTCTCCTTGACGGACTCCTCGCCCTTCACCGAGCCCTCGACCGACGCCGCCCCCGCGCCCTTGCCCTTCTTCCTCTTCTTATTCTTCTTCTTCCCCGCCGCCCCCGCCGCCCCTGCTGCTGCCCCGGGCACAGGCGTCGTCGGCGTCTCGGGCATCGCCTCCTCCGCCGCCGGCACCACCTGCTTCCGCAGCGCCTCCTCCAGCCGCCCCTCCAGCACCCCCACCGTGCGCTCCAGCGCCGTCTTGGCCTCGCGCAGCTCCCGCACGTCCTTGCTGTACGTCACCATGTTGCGCATCTTCTCGGCGTGCTCCGCGAGCTTGCGCTCTAGCCCCTCGATGTACGTCTGCTTGTGCGCGAGGTCGCGCTGGATCTGCTCGACGCGCGCGTTGCCGCCCTGTGCGGCCTTCTCTGTTGCGGCGAGTTGCTCGGACTTGGCGTTGAGGCTTGCCGTGAGCGTGGAGAGCTGCTGCAGCTTGCTGGTCAGCTCGGCGGTGCGCGTGTCGACGGAGGCGGCGGCGGCGGATGCGGAGGCGAGTTTTTGCGTCGCGGATTTTTCGGAGGCGGTGGCGGCCGCGAGCTTTTCGGTGGCCGTCTTGAGTTGCGTTTCGGCGGCCTTGGTCTTTTCTTCGGCGGCCTTGGTCTTTTCTTCGGCGGCTTTGGTTTTCTCTTCGGCGGCCTTGGTCTTTTCTTCGGCGGCTTTGGTCTGTTCCTCCGCCGCCTTCGTCTTGTCCTCAACGCTCTTGCGCAGCTCCGCCATCTCCTTCGCCAGCGCCTCCTCCTTCGCCTTGACCTCCTCGAGCTCCCTCCCCTTCGCCGCCGCCTCCTCCCTCGCCCCCTCCAGCAGCCCCTGCGCCTCCTCCACCCCCTCCTCATCCCCTCCAGCGCCTCCCCCGCACCCCCCACCTCCTCCAGCCGCGTCTTCAGCGCCGCAATCTCCGCCGCCTGCGCCGCAACCTGCCCCGTCAGCTGCGCGTGCTCGTCGTCGAAATTGAAAATGTCGTCTGTCTCCTTCTTCTCCTCTGGTGGAGGTGTGGTTTTGGCGGCGTCCTGTAGTTTTGTGACGAGCGCCTTCTGCTCGTCCCGCTCCTTGCACACGCGGATGAGCTCCTCGCGCGCTAGGTCTGCGCGCAGACTGAAGCTGCCGATCCAGTCGATGAGCGCCTTTCCGTCGGCGAGGCCCTCGAAGGGCGTGTTTTCGCGCAGCGCCTTCTCGAAGGGCTCGATGAGGGCGTTGCGCGCGTGGACGATCTTGTAGGAGCGGAGGAGCTCTGTTTCACACTTTCCGCGTTAGTATGTTGCTAGAATGGGGGAGAGGGGAATTTTGGGGGGGGGGGGAGGGGAGAGACCGTTGTGCTTTGCTTCAATCTTTTCCAGCTTCCGCAGCTTTACGCGCACGTCGGTGGGGAGATCGGCGTTTGCTATGCTGCTGCCTCCACCTCCTCCTCCTCCTCCGCCACCGCTATTACCACCACCGCCTCCAGCACCATTACTCGGCGTCCCCGGCCTGCTTTCCCCCGTACCCAGCCCATTCCTCTCCAGCCGCGGCGTCGCCCTGCCACTCCCCCCACCGGTACTCTTCTCCCCACCACCGCCGAGGGCACCAAGCGGATCCTCACCCACAACCTCCCCCACGGGCGTCCCCGCGCGCGGCGGCGTCGCGCCGTCGCTCTCAAAGTCGGCGGGGGCAGACACGGACGCGGCGCGCGGGCCACGGGTGGTGGACGCTGGGCGGCGGGAGGAGGAGGAGGAGGAGGGGGCGGGGGAGTGGGAGGGGGTGCTGCGGGAGCGCGATTCGGCGGCGAGCTGCGAGTCGATCTCGCCGATGTGGGATTCGAGGACGCCTTTTAGTCGGGAGAACATTTTTGGGGGTTTGTGTTTGTGTTTCGGTTGTTTTGTGTGAGAGGGGGGGGGGGGGAAGAGAGAGAGAGAGAGAGAGAAAGGTGTTTGGGGATGGGGGGAGGTATGGGGTAGTGTACGGGGGGGGGGCAGGGATTCACTTCACGGAAGAGTCAGGCTGCCCTTCTGCTGGGCTGGTCATTGGATATCACTCGGCGGTGTCTCTCTTTCTCCACACTCTGAATCAATCACAATCTGTGGGGTAGAAAGAAAGGATTCATTCATTCCCCTTCCTTCACTCAGATGCAGTGACATGTAGCTATTTTTACCCGCCGACCCAAACAGACACGTGTTCCGATGCGGCGCATGAATTGTGATGTGATTCGAATCGTCGATGTTCATTGCCAGTGTTGATGTTTGTTTTCCATGCGCAGGCGTACCTAGGCAGGACTGCGAATGGGAGGTATGCACGTTGAGAGCTTGTTTGTTCTTTTTCTTGTTTCTTTTACAGACAGGACCATCGATGCTCGGGGTATTGACGATGCGAGAGTGGAGTGTAGGTAGTCTTTCGCAGCTCTGCTTACTGTGTGTGTCTGCGACGAGTCTTCACGTCTCTGGAAAGGTTGTTCTCTACATCTACACATTCCCTACATGTAACTGTAGCTGCGGGAATCACAAAGCATCACTCGTCTCGGCAAGCCGGAGCCTTTCTTGGGAGTCGCGTCCAGGCGGAAATGGACAGCCCGGTCGGGGGTAATCTCGGGGACTTATGCGTCTTTACTATCGTCTATGGGTGTAGTCGGGATGGGATGGGATGGGATTGGGAGTGGAGATATGGGGGGGGATAGCTTCGTGGGTATCGGTGGTATTTCTATGTAGCACAGCCGCACCCCCAGCACACTCTGTCCTCACTGCACAGTCAAACACCACCGCCAAGTCCTCCCCAGTCCAACGCCCAGTCCCCAGCCAGTCCCCAGCACAGTCCCCAGCACAGTCCCCAGCACAGTCCCCAGCACAGTCCCTCCTCCATCCCAAACCCCAAACCCTCACCTCCCCCCCCTCCCACCCCCCAGCGGCCAAACCCCCCCCTTGGCAACCACTATATAATCCCCCCTCCTCCACACCTTCTTCCCCTCCTCATACTTACCTAGCGACAGAGATTGGTGCTCACAAAGACCAGTTCCTCAAAGCCTTCCAGACCCTCATTGCACGTCGAGGGTAGGGACTTTGCCAGAGGTCTTCGGGCCTCCTGGGTTGTTTAATTTTTGCTTTCAAACATAACCGCTTTATGTGGACTCTTTCGTTCGGCTGCTTGGGCGCTGCCGAGGCCTGGACGAAAGAGTGTTGTTTTTCTTGTGGGGTTTGTGGGTGCTGGTGCTGGCGAGAGCTGGCCGTAGAGAGAGGCGGTTTTCATTTCCATCTGGGCGCGTCCGAGATGGAGAGGAAAAGAATCTCTTGTCACTGTTGCGTAGGCTAGACTAGAGTAATGAAAATACACGTTGTGGGCCCGACACTGTTCCCCCTCTGAGTGAAGTGACCCCAACGCGTCTGTAGTACACAAAGGGGAGACCCTCATCTCATCTTTCCCATGTCTGTCTGCTTCCCTCTAGTACTGTACTGACCCGTGAGATGTCGCCTCACACCCGCGCTACACTGCACAAAAATCCCACATCCACAGCACTGCGTCTAGAGCGCCAGGCGATATTCTACAGAGCCTACTATATGTAAACAGAAGCAAGGGTCTCTCGCCCCGCACTCGCACTCGTGATGCTATGGTATGGTACGGGGGGTAGAGAGTAGAGTATGCACCTTGCAGACCCCCCCCCCCCCGAGAACAGAGCCCCACCACAAGAAATCCCCCCCCCCCCCACCACGCCCACGCCCAACCCCTCCACTCCACCAAACCCATCATCACGAACTTTTACGAACCCTCGTGAGATAGATCTGGCTCTCTAAAAACACAACAGACTCCCCGTTGGAGCGGTGCCCAGGATGACCTTCATCACCGAGTAAGTCTCTCCCTCTGCCACTGTCTGTACCAGCCACTGACATCATACCCACCCCACCAGCCAACTCGTCCACCTCGACGCCCAACTCGACCGTCTGCAACTCGACCGTCTCCCCGCCGCCGACCACGACCACGATCACGACCTCACCTCCCCCTTCACCAGAACCTTCTCACACCACTCCCACTCCCACTCCCACGCCGCCCTCACCCCAGCACCCACGCCCAGCACCTCCAAAAGCTCATCAAATCACTCAGCGCCCTCCCCAACCGCCCACTCCTAACCCCCCACCGCATCGTCACCCTCCTCCAATCCGCCTCCCTCGACCCCTCCACCGCCCTCACAGCAAGCGACCACACCCCGCACGACCTCGAGCTCGAATGGGTCCTGCTCAGCAAAGCCACCATCCAGACCTACGGCATCGTGCTCAACTCCCTCCTCGCCCAGACCCTCCCGCTCACGCAGGACATGTTCTACTGGGACTCTGTCGTCTCCTCGCCCTTCCACACGGCCCTCTACACGCTGCAGACGGCGCCCGCCCGCTTCACAGCCTTCACCGCCGAGATCCTCTCCGACGCCATGCGCCGCCTGCAGGAGCTGCGCGACATGGAGCGCATCCCCGTGCTGCCGGGCCCCTACACCATCGACCAGGACGACGACGGCAGCAGCAGCCTCGAGCTGCCGCAGCCCGAGTGGCTGCTGGAGGCGCCGTCGGCGGGCGACTCGCTGTCGCTGACGGCACGAAAGTTCTATGCGCTCGTGCGCAACGCGCTGCATGAGCGGTCGTGGCGCGTGGGTGCCGTGTCGCCGCTGGCGCTGGCGCGGCACGAGATTGGCCGGAAGAGAGCGGCGGTGCGGAGGCTGCGGGAGATGAAGGCTTCCGCGCTGGGGGTGCTGATCGGGGAGGGGCTGTCGTTCGGGTTTGAGGACGCCGCTGCTGCGAGCGGCGAGGGCGAGGATGGCGATGAGTGGAAGGGGATTGTGGAGCGCGCGGTGACGCTGATGGAGAATGTGGTGTGCAATGTGAGCAGCGTGGACACCACGCTCGACGAGTTCGAGGAGACGGTCTTTGCGCTGGACAAGCCCTCGTCCTCCATCTCCTCCCTCGCGCCCACCGCCGCCGGCGCCGGCGCCCCGCGCCCCACAGCGGCGCTCGCAAAACAGCTCATCGACATCCTCAACGTCCACCTCCCCGCGCAGACCGCCAAGTCCCGCGCCCTAATCAGCACCCACGGCCGCCCTCCCTGCTCACCCGCTACTGGATCCCCGCCACGGCGCTGCTCCTCTCCTCCACCACCCTCCTCCGCTTCCTCTCCGCCCGCCGCGCCGCGCTCAAAACCTGGCTGCGCGACCTCGGCGCAACAACAATCGACTTCTGGAACAACTGGGTCATCGACCCTCTCCGCAGCCTCATCGGCACAATCCGCCACAGCGCCGACTCAGAGGTCGCACTCATGTCGCGCGACTCCCTCGCCGCAGACATGCACAGCCTCGAGCGCATGGTCGTCGACTTTGCCATCGACAACCCTGCCATGGCCTCTCCGGACGCGCCGCTGTCCGACGCCGTGCTCGATGCGCTCCGCGCCCGCGTCAAGGAGGGCGATCTCACGCCCGTGCTGCGCGCGTACGAGCGCGACATGCGGCGGCCGTTGCGCGGCGCGCTGGGCGGGGAGCTGGTGCGTGCGCTGCTGATCCAGGTGCAGAAGACAAAGGTGGACGTCGAGGTTGCCATCAGCGGGATTGACCGGCTGCTGAAGAGCCAGGAGCTGGTGTTTGGGATGGTGGGGGTCACGCCGGGGGTGCTGGTGTGCGTGGGGGTTGTGCAGTGGGTTCGCGGGGCGATGGGCGGGCGGCGCGGGAGGAGGTCGTGGGCGCGGGCGGGCGAGATGGTGAGGGTTTTGAGGAACGTGGATCGCATATTGGGCGGGAGTCGGGGGGTGCGCGGGGAGAATGGCGGGATGCTGTCGTATAAGGAGCATGGGCTGCTGCTGTGTGAGGTGCATGTGCTGAGGGAGTTTGCGCGGGGAGTGTTGCCGCGGGGCGTGAGGGCGGAGTTTGTGGAGGATGTGGAGGAGATGGTGGATGTGAGGCGGGGGGTGAGGGGACAGTTGAGGGTTGTGGAGAGGGTTAGGTGGTGAGTTTCTTCTTTTTCATTTTGTGGTTTTGGGTGGTGTTTTTGGGTGGTGTTTTTGGGAGTGGTGGTTGATTGACTTGACTGACTGGTTGTTGTAGGGCGTACGCAAAATGGATCAAATAGACAGGCCCAGATGCCGTAGGATACTGAGGGCTTGTATGCAATGCAATCGCCTTGAATATAGAGGCCATAGCCCAGTTTTAGCGGTGGAATTTCTGTCCCAATACCCCATTTGTAAATTAGAAACAAACATGAAAATAAATAGCTATAAACCCATTGACCTGAAGATCAATTGTGAATAGCTGGTGTTGAGGGGTGGTTGGGGTGGTTGGTGAAATGATGTGGTTGGTTTGTGTCATGGGCTGTCACTCGCGTGGTTAGTGGCTGCGTTCATTAAGGGGGCTGCGTTGTTGAAGGTAGGGCGGGTCTTAAAAGTTGTCCAATGGGTGTCGATGTCTAAAGCTACATGTAATCTAAGCTATTTTATAGGAGCCCGGGAAGGGCACCGTTTCTCTTGCCCGCGGGTGCTTTGCTATTCGACAGCGGGTCCTTTACTGTTCGATATCGTGACCGTGCTGCCTTAAATGATACATATATCTAATATGCGTTGTTGTATTTGCCGATGGTGGCCAAGAGGACGAGAGTATGCGCGAGTTCGAGCTTGATTGCATGTCGTGGCATCGATGGGTATGATTATAGCGAAAGCTTGCTATCATACAGGGCAGTCTCTCTATAAGAGTACCACTTTGCCCTAGGTTTTCACAACTGGTATTAGTGTCTCTGTAATAGATCTCCCTACCATATGGTCCCTTCTCCCGTGGGGGGGGGGCCAAAGGCTATAGTAAAACCTGGTTCCGATGTTATGGCTGGCTAGTCTTTCGGCCTCTACCCGGGGTTTGGGCGGGGGGGGGGGGTCGACGGGTCATAAGATATCGATAGAGATGCCAAATTCTAGTCCCAAGCGTGCATTCGAAATAGACTTTCGTTGGATGTGCGTGTTGATGTTGACGCGGTGCCTGTATTGTATGAGAGCCCTATGTGGGCGGGAAATGTTGGCGGTGCATGATGATAGTACTGTTCCTAACCTCCACGCAAATATGATGCGCTCGGTATCATTGGCCTTGGAGAGCGCATTCGCCATTTCCCGGTGAGAGGACCTTAGCCTTGGGGGTCGCGTTTTCGGTGGTGTATTCACGGTCTGTCACTCGCTGGGTTGCGTGGCCGGCCTGCCTTGGAGGGGTGTGGGCTCGGGGTCGATGTGGGCTCGGGGGTAGGCATGTATTATGCTGGTTGCGTGTATATGGGTGAGGTGAGGGTGGTACGTGCTGATCATTGACATGTACCCGAGGTGGTACGGCCTCTTCTGTGGGGAAATAACTGGAAATAGAAGGTTGTATCTTTCCGAAACGTTTATATTAGGGGTGTGGGAGGAGTTCTTGCTATCTCTACAATAGGAGTAGGCCTTATTGCTAAATTGTAGGGCTTTAGAAGAGCCATTGTAACAAGTGAGATGGGTACATCACGTTCAAAAGTGCTCCGACATTAGGCAAGCGGCAGATATCGCATTGAAGATGCGGTAGGAATGTATGGAGCTACTATAGTCGCTGAGAGAATATTATATATCCCTATCTGCTTTCTACCTAATCGTACGACATGGCGCGCAGGGCCCCTCATGCTATATCACTCGAATGCCAAGAACGAAGCGCCGTGCTACCCAAGTAGCCGTCAACTGGTCTATCTTGTTTCGAGCTTAGTAGCTAGTAGAAGCACAGCACATCAACGTGCCCTGTTCAAAGAAACGTCATTTTTGAAAATCTAGATTTTTCGTGAATCCCTTTAAATTTGCTCGCCCTTGACCCCACCCAGGCCCTGCCTGACCCCACTAGCCTGGTGATGTGCGTTATTTCTCCAGAACGAGTGACAACAAATGAACTGTTGGGGGGTGTGTGGACCGTGTGGTGTTTGCTTAGGTCACCAAAAATAGCCGAAGAGGTCGTTAGTTAGCTAGCTCGTACAAGTGGCCGCGCGGAGTGTGGAGCTTTTTGGGTTCTAGCGCCGCCATCAATAAGCTGGCAAAGGGTTGAAGTCTGCTAGATCTCATATGTAATCAAGACACAACAGCATATATGAGTGAGTTTGATGCTTGAGTCCAATATTTCTACCAGACCTACATTGAGTCTATTCTACAGTACTGGACACAGGTAGAGTAGAGTAGTGTACTGTGTCCATGAAGTAGACAGGGAAAGCACCACCTGCGTTGAAAAGCATGGGGCATTGGCTAGGTACAGGACTGGTTTGCTGGCTGGTCCGCTGGCTACATACTTTTTTTTTTGACACCCCCAACAGTGAATGGGAATCGCACGTTGGTCTTTGACCAGATAGCACCATGACCCGCTTCTATGCGCCAGCCGGGTAACATAGTAGACCTTTGTGACCCTCTGGTTCACTATCAGCCACAAGTTGCGTCCCCCTTCACCTTTGCCCGGGTCCGAAACTTTCCACGGTTTCCTTCTTCCTGCCATCACAGAGACAACCCCAAAGAAAGACCAAAGACACGACGTGCAACCTCACAAACTTAGAGACCCACCCGTCTACTGTCACTCACAACCCAACCCACCTCTCCACAACAACCCCTACCATCAAATAGCCTTTCACCCATCATCTAAAGCTATACCTTACAAACCCTGACCTTCCCTTATCCTTCCTACTCCTACTAACTCACTCCCTCCTCCTCACCTCTGCTCCATCCCTCTTACACCTCTCACCGTTATTACCACCGAAATCATAAACTATGGCTGGCTCTAGAAACTATGACTTTCTGGTAAGCTTCCCATATCCCCTCAATAACCTCCAACCCCCCCTCCCCCCTCACACATATATACACACACCCCCTCTTCGCCCCGGTATAAAAAAAAACTTGAACTGGGCCTCTGACATGGGTATCTCTCACGTATAGATAAAGCTCCTCTTGATTGGCGACTCAGGCGTCGGCAAATCGTGCTGTCTCTTGAGATTCAGCGAGGACTCATTCACCCCGAGTTTCATCACCACCATCGGTATTGACTTTAAGATCCGAACGATCGAGCTAGATGGAAAGAGAGTCAAGCTGCAAATCTGGGATACTGCTGGTATGTGTATGGTCCGGCCGAAGGTCCCCTTACTTTTGTTTCCCCGTTACATAGTTGTTTGGCGCATGTTACAGGGGTGTTTCACGCGGGTGTTGGATGGGCTGTTGCTGACGTGGGGTCTTACCCTAATCTACAGGCCAGGAACGATTCCGGACAATCACTACGGCTTACTATCGTGGGGCTATGGGGATCCTGCTAGTTTATGACGTTACCGACGAGAGATCTTTCGATAGTTTGTTTCCCTTATCCAAAAACACTCTTTGTGATGTTCCGTATCGCATTGTATCCTTTTAACTAACCTTTCGCAAAGACATCCGAACTTGGTTTTCAAACGTCGAGCAGCACGCGACCGAAGGCGTCAACAAGATCCTCATTGGCAACAAATGTGACTGGGAAGAGAAGCGTGTGGTTTCTACCGAGCGCGGCCAGCAATTAGCCGACGAGCTCGGAATACCATTCATGGAAGTGTCGGCAAAAAGCAACATCAACGTCGAGAAGGCTTTCTTTGAGCTAGCTGCCGATATCAAAAAGCGCATCATGGACACTACACGCGCGGAAGAGAGGGCGGGTGGTGCGGGTAATACCGTGGATCCAGGGAGGGAGAACAACGGCGGAATGGGCGGAAAGTGCTGTTAAAATAATCTAACACAAAGCGCAAACTATTTTCGGGGGTCAAATTGTACTTGCAACGTCTAGAGGAAGTAGACTAAATACACCCGAAGGCTGGATCGATCGATTGGACTACGTAGAGGTTATGGAGAAGATCGAGCGTTCCTCACGGGGGGGGGGGGGGGGGGGTTTCCGTCTCTTTTACGTTCTGTCTTTATGTTTGAGTCTGGTCGGTCTTGTTTTTTTTGCGTTGGTTACACTGGTTTTTTTTTTTAAAGGAAATTCTCGTTTCTTCGTAATGGGGAGGGATAGGGGCGAAATGTTTACCCTTTCCTTCTCTTAGTCTCTCCCTTACTACAGCTGTCATTACCCCATCTTTCAAGATCTTCTCAGTGTATGCATCTGTACTATGTTTTCCTGCCACTACCTTTGCGATTTTACCGTGGGGGTTAGAGTGCTCTGTTCTTGTTACGTGCGTCTTGTGTTTTTCTCTTTTATTTTTCTTGTTGTACGTTATAGTTATGCTTTATGTGTTTCCTTTTCTTCTTATATGATGTGTCTGGGGGATTTGATATAGGTATATATATCCTTCTAATCGACGTTTTATGACTACCATGTCAGTTTTACGAGGTTTGGGAGATGTATTAGAAGCTATACGAATGCAATGTTATTGATGCTGGTCCATGTACCTACTACTGATAGCCTGCTTATCTCGGCGCTGCTGTAGCCTGTAGGTAGCTGTATGATTACATGATGTCGGAATCCTTGTGTCGATTGTTTTATGCCGCCCATCAACTGTTTCTGGCGGCATGTCACGAGAGTCACACATGCGTGGGGCACAATTGAAAGACACCATCCACAGATACGTTTTTTTTTCTTCTTTCCACACCGCATTCTCCATATAAATATATATTCACTTCCCAAATCCTAAACTAGCAAAAAAATATAAGTGTAAGACCATCATAGTCAAATCCCAACCACTGTTCTGGCAAATGGGACTCCGGCTTAATAGCGATCTTCCATGGAGAACAAGGGGACTAATCCTCGTCTCCCGGGGCTCCCCCCAGAGGGGGAGCCAATTGTTCTGTGCCTGACCGGGTACCGAGTTATTATGGTGGGGAATAACACAGTTACAGTCTCTTCCTGACGGAGAGACTGTTGGTAAGGCAACGGGACTTGCTGCTTTTCCTTTAGAACCTGCCCTCCCTTTGCTGGCAGGGGAGATCAAAGTAGACCAGCAAGCGTGAGCGTGATGGGGAATGGAGGGATTGTAAGGTTGGAAATTAGTTCATTGGAGCTGGAGACAATTGTGTATATGTTCAATAGCTCCTAAGTATTCTGAAATGCTGAGATGCTGAATTTGGCGCTGCTGTTGTTGTTGATGATACTGGTGTCGTGCGTGAGTGGTTGGATTTCCGAGAAGAAGGAAAAGAAAAAAAAAAACCGTTGATAAACAAAAAACATTAGTGTCACCAGGGTTCAGGGCACAGGGCACCCGATCTGCAGCATCCAACGTCATACAAACCGTTGAGCCGCAACCCTTGAAATCTCACACCCTTGAGCAGGATCCCAGAGCTCTAAAAGCAAAGAAACAAAGAAACGTAAATGGCACTTCTCCACCGGCGTCTTTGTTCCAGCCCGATATCCAGGTCCTTGTTCGCTGCAAGAGGAATAAGAAGCGTTAATATGTCTTCAACGCCCGTGGAACCGCTGTGGTCAGCTGGGATTGAGGAGGGCCAGAAGGAGGAAGCTAGGAAGCTTCTGGGAGATGGAAGATGGGCGTTGAGCGCGACGCGGATGGGCCTCGAAAGGAAGTTTGAGTTCAAGACGTTCAAAACTACTATGGTTTGTGCTTTTCTTGAGATGATGGCTGTTCTTAGCAGATGCTGGGTATGACAGGGCTATTTAACATGGGGTGTGGTACGGTGTAGGTATTCATCAACCAAGTTGCGGACCAGTGTAAAGTTGCGCGACATCATCCTGAATGGGCGAACGTGCGTACTTAGGCTCTTTTTCCCTTTATTGCGTAACATCGTTGGCAAAAGGCAGTATATATTCTTCCGGGGAACATGGCACTGATCCCCCTCGTTATGGGTTTAAACAGGTCTACAATAAAGTAGTAATTCGCTGGACCACACACAACCCACTAGGCCTCTCGCACAAGGATATTGAGATGGCCAAGTTCTGTGATGAGAGGGGAGCAGAACTTGGAGATGTTGACACGGGAAAAGTGGAACGGGCCCCCGCAGACGAAACGGGAGGTAACGTTCTGGATAACCTTTTGGGTCAGGGAGTGCAGGAGTGTGGACCATGCGCGCAAAAGTCGAAGAAATAGGGGACTGCAATAAGATGCCAGAAATAGTAGCCGCGGGTGTGTGAGATGAATTGCTCTTTCCCTAATACGTTGCTGTACATGTGCTTGATTGATTTGTGTAGCTACTCGATTGTAGCGGAGAGAGAGGAAAGAAAATTAGAGTGAGGATGGTGGTTGCTCTCACTCATTCGCATAGAGATGCTCATCGTATGTCGGATCCCAACTGATAAGACAAGAAAAGGTACATAGTGACAACTTAGTGACAACTTGATTGACCAACAAATTGAAAGCCTGACTGATGGGCTGCAGGGGACTGGCTCCTTAACACGTGACCTCAAAATGCGTAATGACACACGTGCGGATTGCCGCCGTGGCCTTCTCTCAACCTTCTCGCCTTGACAGGTTCAGCGCGCAACCCCCAGACTTCACCGCCACATTCTCTTTTTTTCCCTTTTGTTGTATTTATTGAACTCATCTCTCTTCTCAGCAGGCCCTGGTAGCTTCCATCTGCCAAAGGTCGTGCTAGTCTTGTCCACCAAATACTTCATCCCCTTCTCATCGCTGGTAGAAAGAGACACACACACACACACACACAAAATGGTTTCCTTCTGGCCCTTCAAAGTAAGTTAATATGCCTATCCTATCCCAACCCATCCCGCCTCTTATGGTTCCCTGTGTTTTGTCCTACTGGACACCTCCCCTTTGATGCAGGAAAGCTAACGGGAAGCAATATGACAGGGCGACGATAACTCACCAGACTCCTTCGAGCGCATTCTTTCAAAGCTCGCATCGCAGATCCAAGCAGAGACTTCGAAACTTGCTCTCCTTCGTCTACAGCTCCGCCGTTACAAGGGGCTATGGACTATCTACACCTCATTTGCCTACATCTTCTACGTACTCGTCATATTCCTTGTCGTAGGATGGAAGGAAGTGGGTCCCCCACAGATAGCGGGCTTGGTCGGTGGACCTATTGGGTATGATTCCTCTGTACTATAACTTTCGAAGGCCATATGCTGATGGCTTTTGTTTCGCGAACAGAATCTGGGGCGTAAGGAGTTTGTTGGTGCTCTACTATAACGGCAGGATCTCAACCACTGAGACGAAGCTGGAGGATCTCCAGACCAAACAAAGGGATACCGTCGAAAAGTTGAAGGCAGCCACAAAGTTCTCAACCACACAATCTATCATTGAAAAATATGGTGGTGGGCCCATCTCACCCTCAATCTCTGAGATTGAGAGGAACAAGATGCAACATGCACAGCAGCAAGGTCCACCCGGACATCCGAATAACAATCAACAGCTTAGACAGCGTTCCCAGGGACAGCCTAGTGGAACATCCGGCTCGGTTCCACCTTCACCCCAGCAAATACAACAACAATTTGTTCAACAGCAGCTACAGCAGCAACAACAGGAACGAGGACAACAGCATCTGGCGCCTCCTTCCGGAGTTAATAATCCAAACCCAGTCAAAAAATTCAACCGGCCATCCCCCATCCCCGTTCTCAGTTTCCCACAAACTACGGTACAGACACCAGCTCGTCAAATTGCACCGGAGGAGATACATTCTCCACGTTGGTATGACCGCGTCCTTGACGTTCTCGTAGGAGAAGACGAGACTAGCGCGAAGAATCGCTTCGCGCTGATCTGCAAGAACTGCAGGATGGTCAATGGACTAGCACCTCCTGGAACAAAAAGCCTGGAAGACGTGGAGGGATGGGGGTGTGCTAGATGCGGGATGATGAACGGGAAGCCGCCAAGCCGTCCTTTAAGCAGGAAAGGGGACGAAGAAGAAATGGACATGATCCATGGTCTCGGGGTTAGGGGATCAAGGATTAGCAAGTCATCGAGTCCTACACCCAGCGAGAGCGTTAGTGTCAGATCAACCAGGAGCAGGACAAAGAAAGCGTCGCCAGAGCCCGAGCCGGAGCCCGAGCTTGAATTGTCCGAGGAAGATAGCTCAGCAGCAACCGGGAGCGATCAAATAGAAGATGAAGAGGCTGAAGAGGTTGAAGAAGCCCCAAAGCCAAAAGGCAGAGTAACTAGAGGCAGCAAGAAGGCTTGAGAGCCAGAGCTCTTTATTTTTCTTAATATATAGATTTTGTTTTTTTCCCGGTTTGCGAGGTACGAGGATACTGGAGGGTAATACTTTATTGTTTCTCTTTTGTTCGGTCGGGATTGGAGCTGGGGTTGGTCTGGAGGAGTAAAAGATGAACTTGTTGAATTTGTTGAGTGATTGGGATTATTTTTTTGCCCGGATCTGTGTCTGGTATCAGGCGGGCTTCCTTTCTTCTTAAAAGTTACTAGTGATGGGAGGTTCAATGGTTCAATTTGGTATGGTTGTTATCTTTCTTTCTTGTATTATTCTAGCTCATGGACGAGAGATATCATATAAAAAAAATTCCTAGATCCTTTTCTTTTATATGATTGCCAATATTATTATATATTTCAGTTTGCATCACAGCTTCACACTCGGGGAAGCGGGAAAACTCGGTGTCTACCAACCAATCACAGTGGCCGCTGACTAAACACCACTACCCGAATCGTGAACATTTGCACAACCTTCCCGGGTAACAAGCCATCAACCCCCACCAAACAATTCACAAACACCAACCTCCATCCGCAAACTGTACATTCCACTTCGAAATCACACGATGCCTGTACGTATTCCCACCAACTCCCCTCTTTAACGCTCCGACGGGCAGAGATTGCACCCTTGGTCGGGATTTTACCGGCCGGGGGTAGAATTTGGCTTTGCGATCTGGGACTGACAGCTGGGAGACAGATCTCAACCTCCATCTACAACGCCCTCTTCCGACGAAACTACGTCTTTGTCGGAAGTGTTTTCGCCGGCGCTTTTGCTTTTGAGATGTAAGCTCTCCGACTCCTCCGTTTTCCGCCCCTGTATCTACTGTCTGCCATGCCTGCGTTCTGCCTATGTGGGCGTTAGCTGAACGACTGCCCCACCCGCTGTTCTGTGATATCCTTCTAGGGTGAAGAAACGATACAGGCGGATAGGACCTTAGGGAGATTTTACTGACATATTCTCGCTCTATAGTCTCTTCGACCAGGCCACCGACAAATTGTGGGACAACATGAACAAGGGTAGACAATGGAAGGACATCCGACACCGCTATGTTCAGGAAGAATAGGCGATGTATCCCTTAGACATGGGGGCCTGTAGATTTGGTGCTGGAGTGAAAGGAGCAAAAGAAGTTTCTTTTTGTTTGCCGATTTAGAATCGGGTTTGGTTTGGTGTAGCTCTCCTAGTGCATGAGCGGCGATTCAATTCATGCCAGTTTTTCCCCGTTCCTGCTTTTCTGTAATTGACCATGCTTTGCGATAAGTATGACATCCTAGGTGTGATTATGTTGGTGTTTGAGATGTGGTTTCCATATTGGATGCCCCTATTCATACTCGGATAGATTATCCTGGCCTGGTACTCAAGCTTTAGCAGCTCTTATGTTCACTCATATTTTATCACAGCAACCTTAGGAGGCAGGAGGCTAAAACGGTCCCCAAAAATTGAAGACTGCCGGTTTTTGGTTGACCAATTCCGTGGGCCATGTCAATATTCAGACTTCGAATTTGTATTGGCCATTTGTTTCCCTGCACAGCTTATATTGGATACAATACTGATACATGGGAGGCCCACTTACTGTGATATTAAATTTAAACTGGTATCTCATTTATTCTAGTTTAGATGCTGCGAAGATTAGTAGGCGTCTAATGTACCTCCCCACAGCAAATACGTTCAGCCAAATAAATTTATCCACGGCCTATTTGTCTAGACGGAGGCATAAATCATATAGCCACCTCTGCCGCCCCTATGGAAAACAATTGGAAATTAACTACCAGAGCCACTAAGCTTCGGCCTACCCTTCTAGACCCATTTCCAAGATTATGGACGAACGCCTAGAGTCATGGGACATCACCAGCATTAAATTCCTGTGGAATTATTTAGATCACCACCATTGGTCTGTTTGGAAATGGTACTACGCCACTTAACAATTTTAATCACAAGCTATCACTCGTCTGAAAATTTTGCTCCTTTCTTTTTGTTTAATTCAGAATTTTACTTTTTGATTGATTGACTACATGTACTTCATTAATTTGCTCCTGGGCCAATTCCTGTATGTATTTACGTTTATATGAGAATATAATCCCGCTAGACGACGACATTGAAGGCCTATATATAGAGAGTCTCTAGGGATTGAAGGCTCATACCAAATAAATGCTTCCCGATTTGAGGTTTTGACTGCTGCGCTCCTTCGCCTATACACGGAAGCCAGGGGTCGAGAGATACCACGCATCTTGCTAGCATAGTCCCTGTATGAGATTCAGAATACAGAAGAAGTTTCCCGGTATTCTTGCAAAGGTAGCTAGATCAAAACTCCCAAATCGGACCCAAATCGGACCCAAATCAGACCCAAATCGACTTAGACTAGTTTAAATGGTTTAATCCGTATGTCAACTCGAGCCATCGTGACTCTTATCACCACAACAAGGCGTTGCTTTGTTATAGGAGGATTTTACTCATCTTGACTCAGGATATAAGAGAAATCGAGACTTATGTATATTTGTACGCCGAATCTCCATGCATGATAAACACACGCGTTACGCTCGGGAATTTCCATGCTTAGACTTGTTGCATGTGGTCAAAAATGAGTTTGGTGTACTCAGCGTACCCCGTAGCCGTGTGGTGGTCTATGGGGCTACTCGAGACGAGTAAAAGTGGGGGCCTTGTGAGAGTACACTATTTCGAGTTTCTCCGGGAACAGGAGGAGGGGGCATAGGCTGGTGTAATAACCGGGATAACTGTATCCTATCTATAGTCACACTGTAGCTAGAACTATCGATCCCAGCCAGGCCTGGAATGATATCCTCGACTTGGGCTGTGGATAAGGCGGAAGCTCTGTAAGGAATCGAAACTTTGCAAAGACTATGGTTTTATTAGATCTAGATCTTAAACAGCGTAAAATTCCAACACTGTACGCTAAATTATATGAAGTTCTAGAAAGAAGGATTTAATGAACATATACCAAAAAAGTTATATCAAAATAACCTAGCTTAAAAAATCTCAAGATCTTCCCTTGGGGTGTAGCGATGACACGTGTGCGTACCTCTCAGTGTAGGTTTTCATAAAGAATCAAAGATTTTCTAGTTATTCAAGTTAGTACTAGTCCTTGATGGCTTGATGGAAGGGTGTTTACTCTTTTTAACTATATACCGGTCGTTGTTAGCGAATACTAAAAAATTCGATTCACTACATTTGATGTTTGTTAGGTTTCCTTTTCACTGGTTGTTGTGTTGCGTCCCGGCCCCTTCGCCGACCATAAGTCAAGTTTTCTCAGACCCGCGTATCCGCGCTGTCACATGACACGGCGAGTGATATTATATGTATGGATAGTTGCATGATCTAGTTGTGTTCTTTACGCGCTTGGGGCGCTTCCACCAATTACGCAAGGATATATATAACTCTCTAATTAATAGAGAACGAATGGCTGGACCCATAAACCTCTGTCCCGCGAATCACAAAGTAAAACCCCGCTCTTTGTCCCTTACCCCATTACTTTAATCCGCGAAAGATTAGCTAGAAATTCTTACAAATCCAGCTGGCGATACTACCATCAAATCTCATGGGCATCATAAAGATCTCATTGCATCCTGGCGATATAGTTACAGCAATAGCGGCATTTGAGACTGTTGGCCTCGAGACTCACATAACAACGCCATAATAAGTGACTAAGCGAGTAAGAGGGGATTTTCCATAACAACTGTCCTTCAATTAGAATTCTCAGCTTACCATACATGAGGCTTCAGACTGGTTCCTAAACATTCTACCTCCATCCCTGAATGGCCAGGATAGTGTCTATGGCGGATTACAGATGAATGGTACTCTCTTTAACAACTTGCTGCCACAAATTACAGGGAGAACCAGCCCCGCTATCAATAAAACCAAACAGCACTAGAGACTCGCCACCTTAGCATGCGACAAACGTGCCGTTCCAATTATCATCCGCCATACAATGGCTGGTTTCGTATATACAGTGGTATATATTAATCTGCACACAAGACGGTGTCCTCCCAAACGGAAAATTCGAATAATACTCTGGCCAATGGCCAAGTGAAATTTGGAGAAACCATGTTTCTAATACGGGGTTGGATGGGCTTTTTTTTGATAAAGATTATTATAAAAGGAGATGATCCTTAGGCGTTTAGTAAAAGGTCGTGGAAACAGGCGTTGCAACGGGGCGGCTTTCACTACATTTTACTGGGCGTTAACGCCTAAGTGGTGTTTGGTCGAAACTCACAGCTACAGCTGGACCGCCTTTTCACTTCGGGAAAGGGAAGGTGAGAACCATCATTTGTTCTGATCTGTCAGCCTGTTCCAGATTGAGAGAAATCTTAGAGGGAGATGAGGTGATCTTTATTGGGCACATCTTGCAATTGGGTCGCAACATCCATTGATAGTAGTCCACGGGATGGTCTTGTCCCAGGAGGTACTACTATATCAAGAACCACCATAATTTCGAGCGCTGTGCGAGCTTCAATCTTTCATCTTAATTCAAAACTAAATAACATTAATGCCGAGTAACATTTTTATTGGGCGTACTATAAACCTACATGCACTATGGTTTTGCGCTTAGCTATAGGTATGGAACAAATCTTCATATAATAATTAATTCCAATGGTAGACATATTTTAATTTATCTAAGGCTAATCTTAGTCTTTTGCTTAGGTCTATTAGATTTCTACATCCTTATACAGACGCAGGACTAGAGGGGAAAACGAAGATTCACGGCAAAATGGTTGAAAATGAGGATCGAAAATAACTTCTTGGTGTGAATTGAACCGAAGTTGAGATGAAATGATAGATTTTAGGCGTATGTGCTTTGAGAATCCTTGTTTGCTTGTATTTTTCTTGTCCGGACGAAAACGGGTAAAGTGCCGCAAAGATCGAGTGAGATCGTATGAAGCGGGAGGAACACAAACAAACTGTTCCTAAAGGATTAGCTCTATCGCCTGAATTTTGTAAGTTGACCGTCAGTTCTTAGTGAGTTT